AACATTACTAACCGAGTCCTACACTACTAACCGAGTCCAACATTACTAGCCGAGTCCTACACTACTAGCCGAGTCCAACATTACTAGCCAAGTCCAACATTACTAGCCGAGTCCTACACTACTAACCAAGTCCAACATTACCAGCCGAGCCCAACATTACTAGCCGAGTCCTACACTACTAACCAAGTCCAACATTACTAGCCGAGTCCAACATTACTAACCAAGTCCTACACTACTAACCAAGTCCAACATTACTAGCTGAGTCGTACACTATTAACCAAGTCCAACATTACTGACCAAGTCCAACATTACTAGCCAAGTCCAACACTAGTCCAACATCACTAGCAGAGTCCAACATTACTAGCCAAGTCCTACACTACTAACCAAGTCCAACATTACTAGCAGAGTCCTACATTACTAACCGAGTCCAACATTACTAGCCGAGTCCTACACTACTAACCAAGTCCAACATTACTAGCCGAGTCCTACACTACTAACCAAGTCCAACATTACTAGCCGAGTCCTACATTACTAGCAAAGTCCAACATTACTAGCAGAGTCCTACATTAATAGCCGAGTCCTACATTAATAGCCGAGTCCAACATTACTAACCGAGTCCAACATTACTAGCCAAGTCCAACATTACTAGCCAAGTCCAACATTACTAGCCAAGTCCAACACTACTAGCCAAGTCCAACACTAGTCCAACATCACTAGCCGAGTCCAACATTACTAGCCGAGTCCTACACTACTAACCAAGTCCAACATTACTAGCCGAGTCCTACACTACTAACCAAGTCCAACATTACTAGCCGAGTCCTACAATATTAACCGAGTCCAACATTACTAGCCGAGTCCTACACTACTAACCAAGTCCAACATTACTAGCCGAGTCCTACACTACTAACCGAGTCCAACATTACTAACCGAGTCCTACAATACTAACCGAGTCCTACAATACTAACCAAGTCCAACATTACTAGCCGAGTCCTACATTACTAACCGAGTCCAACATTACTAGCCGAGTCCTACACTACTAACCAAGTCCAACATTACTAGCCGAGTCCTACATTACTAACCGAGTCCAACATTACTAGCCGAGTCCTACATTACTAACCAAGTCCCACATTACTAACCAAGTCCAACATTACTAGCCGAGTCCTACACTACTAACCAAGTCCAACATTACTAACCAAGTCCCACATTACTAACCAAGTCCAACATTACTAGCCGAGTCCTACACTACTAACCAAGTCCAACATTACTAACCGAGTCCAACATTACTAACCGAGTCCAACATTACTAGCCATTTTAGTGATATTAAAAATACTCCAGTTATTTTAATGTGCATATTGATTCGGGATTGTGTGAAAGCGCAACAACAATAAACTCGCTACAACACCTGTAGAAATGGCATCTACACGGCATTAACAAAGGGACACTAAGGAAGTAATGGCCCTCAAAGCCAAAAGGACCTGCTTTCTCCTTCCCTTGCATGAGACTAATTATAATAATACCATTTTTATTGCACAGCATCCTGTGTAGAGACTCTGTGATCCCGCGCTGTAGGGGGTCCTGAATACGACCTGCAGGTGAATCATAAAATCCTGCATTTCCTGCTAATAATAGATAAGTTGGCGGACTGTCCAGTGATATCCTGCTTTAGTTTCCATTATACACCGACACAGAGTAACCACGACACACGTCCTCCCATGAAAATCCTCTGAGATGTGTTACTACTAACCGAGTCCTACACTACTAACCAAGTCCAACATTACTAGCCGAGTCCTACACTACTAACCGAGTCCAACATTACTAGCCGAGTCCTACACTACTAACCGAGTCCTACACTACTAACCAAGTCAAACATTACTAGCCAAGTCCAACATTACTAGCCGAGTCCAACATTACTAGCCGAGTCCTACACTACTAACCGAGTCCAACATTACTAGCCGAGCCCTACACTACTAACCGAGTCCAACATTACTAGCTGAGTCGTACACTATTAACCTAGTCCAACATTACTAACCGAGTCCAACATTACTAACCGAGTCCAACATTACTAACCGAGTCCAACATTACTAGCCGAGTCCAACATTACTAGCCGAGTCCAACATTACTAGCCGAGTCCAACATTACTAGCCGAGTCCTACACTACTAGCCAAGTCCAACATTACTAGCCAAGTCCAACATTACTAGCCGAGTCCTACACTACTAACTAAGTCCAACATTACTAGCCAAGTCCAACATTACTAGCCAAGTCCAACATTACTAACCGAGTCCAACATTTTGACGAAATAGGGGACGCGGCTTCATGAGGCTCCCGGCGCTGGAACCAGGTGAGTAAAATCCTCTGCCTGGAGAGTCCCTTTAATTATGTATGTTTGTATTTGCTTTTATATCACGCAGCCATGTTACAATGATGCCACCTAGGGCCGCCATCAAAAATATTGGGGCCCCTAACACAGCTCAAGGTCTGGGCCCCACTCTCCAAATCCACCCACAAGGAAGCAGTGTTTGTAGAGTGGATACAGGGTGTGTTTGTGTATGTGTAGTGGATGCACTGTGTGTATATTGTGTATCTATGTGTGTGTGTGTGTATATATATATATATATATATATATATATATATATACACACACACACATATACACACACACACAGTTTGTGTTTGAATGTAAGCATGTTTTTGTATTATGTATGTGTGTTAATGTTGGTGTTTGAATACAGGTGTGCATCTGTTTTTAGCGTATACACTTACACACACACACACACACTGATACACAGACACACATGCAAATACACAGACACGTATATATATACCCACACAGACACACACACATACACTCAAACATTGACACAGAATACACACAGACACAGATACACACATACAGACACAGAGATATACTGACACACATACTGAAACAGACATGCACACAGGCATACATACTGACACACACATACATACTGACATACAGTCTGTATGTATGTCAGGATGTATGATGTATGTGTATGTCTGTATGTATGATACATACACATACATACTGACATTCATACAGACACACACACACACACACACACACACACTAACACATACACTGACATACACATACATACTGAAATATACATACAAACACATACAGACACACACACATGTGTATGTGACATACACATATAAATACGTACATGGACACACATACATACATACATACATACACAATGACACACACATGCAGCTAATTTTTCAGCCACCCTCTTGATTCTTACCCTTTCGTTGCAGGAGGGTGGCTGGGGCTGATGGGAGTCGGTCTGGCTCTCCCTCGTCACGGTTTTCGTTCGGTCTCTCCTCTCTCCCACGTGGAGTGAGCTGGGAGGAAGTGACTAGTTGCGACTAATATTTTTAAATGGGCCCGGTTGCGTTATTACACGGCCACAACGCTGACCGGGCCCCTGAAGATATAGGGCCCATTGGTTGTCTCAAAGTGCATTGGGCATCAGCGTGTTGGCCCCAGTGCAACTGCCCCGGCAGCATTCTGCCACTACACATGGGGCCCGCATGGCCTAGCCCCCCAAGCCTGTGACAACTGTCATGGTAATCACCCACTCATGGCGGCCCTGATGCCATCCATCCCATGTGTTCCATATTAAGGGTTAATAAGTATTTACGGGTTAAGGAAAACACCCCTCTCTCTCTCTCATTAGAGATTTTACCTTTTAGCTGAAAGAAACAAAGTGAATTGTTAGGGATATTAATGCTAGATGTGGCAGGTGAGCTTACAATTTAAAAGCCATTTTAGTGATATTAAAAATACTCCAGTTATTTTAATGTGCATATTGATTCGGGATTGTGTGAAAGCGCAACAACAATAAACTCGCTACAACACCTGTAGAAATGGCATCTACACGGCATTAACAAAGGGACACTAGGGAAGTAATGGCCCTCAAAGCCAAAAGGACCTGCTTTCTCCTTCCCTTGCATGAGACTAATTATAATAATACCATTTTTATTGCACAGCATCCTGTGTAGAGACTCTGTGATCCCGCGCTGTAGGGGGTCCTGAATACGACCTGCAGGTGAATCATAAAATCCTGCATTTCCTGCTAATAATAGATAAGTTGGCGGACTGTCCAGTGATATCCTGCTTTAGTTTCCATTATACACCGACACAGAGTAACCACGACACACGTCCTCCCATGAAAATCCTCTGAGATGTGTTAGTGTGACACTGCTTGCAGCCACGCAATGAGCATGCTGAACAAGAGATCCTAATTAACCAGGCGGTGCATTCAATTTGGTAAAATTATATTTTGTGAAAAGTTTGAGGATACTTGATGGATACTAGCAGATCATGCTTTACATTTAAAATAATATTCGAAAACATGCTTCACAAAGTTACAAAGCATAAGCA